GGAATCCATAGAGACAGAAAGTAAATTAGTGGTTTCCAGGGATTTGTAGGGAATGGAGTATGGCGGAGTGACTACTACATGGGTATGGGATCTTTTGAGCGGTGGATGAAAATGTTTAGGTTAGGATAGTTTGATGACTATACAATCTTGTGAATATAGCAAAAACCACTGAATCTCGATACTTTATAAGGGTATATACTTTATACTTTTAAAGCGGGAATATTATGCACATTGAATTCTACCTCAAAATAATTATAAAACTAATCCTAGTAACTTACCATATTTATCATTTTAGATATTAATTTTTATATTTTATTATCTGTGAAATTGAAGTGCATGTTACAATCAAATGGCACCCTTATAATTCTGTGCAAAGTGCATAATAGTTGTCTATCTTAACATAAGTTTTCTATCAACTAATACAGGTAAAGAGGAGTGTAAATCTACAGCCAAGATTTTTTAAATTCTCCATCAGCAAAAAATGTATATGTTTCGTTGTTTTTGGACCTGGGTAGTTTGTTTTTTTTTTTTAGTCAAAAGTCTGGCGTACGAGATTGACCGTGTACGTTTTTAAAGTCGATTTATTGAGGAGTAGTAACTATAGTGCATTCACCCTTTTTAGGTATACAAGTCTGTGAGTTTGTGACAAAAGGAATACTGTCCTGTAACTACCACCACATTCAAGATATAAATATTTCCATCACCCTAAAAAGTTGCTTCACTACCCTTTCTACTCAGTCCCTCCCTTCTTCACCCCCAGTCTCTGCGACCATGATCTGATTTCTGTCCTAATAGTTTGTCTTTTCTACATGTCATATAAATGAAATCATTATATGATTCTATATGATAAATACCCATTTCTGTACTTTTGAAATTAATCTTAAATAATGATTTAACAATGTTCCCACTATGCATCATTTATGTCCCCTTCCCATTTTTAAATTTTAAGAGTGCAGTGCAGCAAGAGAATTGTGTTCTTGGCATAAAACTTACTGAGTTAATTGCAGTGGCTTACAATCTATACACACAAAAATCATAAACAAAAAATAAACCATCCACCACTCAATCTAGATTTTAGATATGCATAAAGAGCTTAGGTTTATAAACATCAGGCTTTGAGTGCCTTAGAGTGAATGGTAGAGACACTGAGTGTAGTGATGGTAGAGAAACAACAGAAGTCATTTCCCTGGATCTTCAGTGGGCATGTAGTATCAGATGTTTGGATTTCTTGCTGGTATACCTCGTTTTTGCTGTGACTGCCTACTCTTTGGTTTACAGGAAGCTTTGGATAATTTTTGATAATGAGAGTTTATATTTTTACATAACTCATTAGTAGTGGAATGATGAGAACATGGTAGGCATCCAGGTAGCATTTATCAATTGAACATTAAAGCTTAAACATTAGGTCTTGCAGAATAAGATGCATTAGCATGTAGATTTAATGTTCTTATTTTATCTTTATTTCCAATATTTAAACTTACAGCTTCTCCTTTTCTTTAAGAAGCAGAAACTTGTGAAACAGTTGCCTTTAACTTCCATATGCCAGAAACAGATTCACCTGCACTCGACCAGAAAAACAGTAAGTGATTTCTAATTCTACATTATTTAGATGTAACTGTCATTTGAGCTATTTCAGTTTCACTGTGTTTCTCATTATAGTGTAAATACAGTGGAATCTTATTATAATGCTAGGTTGAGGGTTATATTAACTTTATTTCAGGTTTTTCTAAATCTAGTGTTGTTACTCCAGTGAGTATTGTTTGATAAGGAGTTATCACATTTATGTAATAATGAGAGTCAGACCAGTATAGTAAAAAAACACATGTCTACAGTAAGAAAGACAGATTCACATCCTATCGGCTTTACCTGACTTTGGGCAAACTACTTAATCTCTCTGAAGTGCTTTCATTTATAGTGAAACTGCTTTTTCATTTAAAGAATGTGGGGCCAGGCGCGGTGGCTCACGCCTGTAACCCTAGCACTCTGGAGGCCGAGGCGGGTGGATAGCTGAGGTCAGGAGTTCAAAACCAGCCTGAGCAAGAGGAGACCCCGTCTACTATATAAATAGAAATTAATGGCCAACTAATATATATAGAAAAAATTAGCCGGGCATAGTGGCGCATGCTGTAGTCCCAGCTACTCGGGATGCTGAGGCAGCAGGATTGCTGAGCCCAGGAGTTTGAGGTTACTGAGTTAGGCTGACACCACGGCACTCACTCTAGCCTGGGCAACAAAGTGAGACTCTGTCTCAAAAAAAAAAAAAAAAAAAATGTGGGTAAAATAATAAAACTCTTAAACTCTTTAAAGAATTATGATGAGGATTACAGAAGTAATATATGTGAAAATACCTAGCAGTGCTGGGTATATAGTAGGTGCTTAATAAATGTTCTTTTCTTTTTTAATTATCATGTTATAATGGGTTCTGTTTTCTTTCAGTATAAGTATTGATATAGTCATTGATTTATTTATGTGATCTTTGCTGTAGTTATGGGGTTAGTATCCAGGGCTCCTGGGGGCCTCCTTGAGCTATCCCTGGTGTAAACAGGGATAAGGGACAGAAGGAGATTAGTCCTTATAGTGGAACCTGGTCGGAAAGCCATGAGATTTGGGGAGGAGGGAGGTTAGGGATTTTGCTAACAGCACTAACAGCACTCAGAGTGCTGGGGGCTCCTCATTACTTCTATTACTAGTGATGTGCCAGTCGAGGAGTCTCCTTACCCAGATATCTCCAACCTCTCTTCAATCTCCCACTTGGAAATGGGGAAGCGAATACAAGGGCAGTGGTACTTAAATATATAGCCTTAAAATCAGAAGATTTGGGTTCAAGTTCTCCCTCTGCCATTGACTAGTCTCATGCTTTTTGTCACTTACTATTCCTGAACCTTAGTGTCTGTATCTGAAAAACAGTACTCTGCCTCCCAGGGTTATTTTGAAAACTATGAAATGTATTAAACATTATGCAGCTAATACTTTTTTTTAATTTTTTCAGATAATGCCATCTTTGGATAAAGCACATTTCCAGCAACACAGAAATACATTCTCTTGGATCCTTCTTCGATGTCTGTCTAAATTCTTTTCAAATATTAATTATAAAAGAAGTGAAACAAAATTATTCAGTAGATCTGCCAAAAACCATTTTATTAAGTCACACAAAGCATACCATATCTTCATTCATTCCAGTTCATCATTTAGACTTAGATGTTTTGAGGAGAGGGTTTGAGTTATTTAAAGATACTTTAAAAGATGAATGGCCTGAAAGTTTACTTTACAGTGATCTTCCCTTTACTCATCTAAAATGTTTAAATAATAGTTTATATTTGTTTCTATAAATCAGTGGAATATGTTGACCAACCCCACCGATCAGGATGCAGGCTAGAGTTGCTCAAAGTTAACACTTATTTCTAAAAGCTTAATTAGATTAACTTACTCTCTTGGAGCTGGGATCTTGATGATTTGAATAAGTGCATTTTTTGGAGAGGATAATATAAGGAGCCTAGAGATAGAGCTTTCTGTTATATTTCATTGCCCATCACCGAACTGAGCCTTGCTAGACTCATCTCATGGCCAAGTACTATTTGGTTATTATCACCTCTGTCTCATTGCTCCTTAGATGGCAGTCTTTTCAAATTTTATTTATTTATTTATTTTTGAGACAGAGTCTCACTGTTGCCCTGACTAGAGTGCCGTGGCGTCAGCCTAGCTCACAGCAACCTCAAACTCTTGGGCTCAAGTGATCCTCCTGCCTCAGCCTTTCCAGTAGCTGGGACTACAGGCACACGCCACCATGCCCAGCTAATTTTTTCTATAAATTTTTAGTTTTCCAGATAATTTCTTTCTATTTTTAGTAGAGACGGGGTCTTGCTCTTGCTCAGGCTGGTTTTGAACTCCTGACCTCAAGCTATCCGCCCACCTCGGCCTCCCAGAGTGCTAGGGTTACAGGCGTGAGCCACCGCGCCTGGCCCCCACATTCTTTAAATGAAAAAGCAGTTTCACTTATAAATGAAAAAGCACTTTCAGAGAGATTAAGTAGTTTGCCCAAAGTCAGGTAGAGAGCCGATAGGATGTGAATCTGTCTTTCTTACTGTAGACACTGTGTTTTTTGACTCTCATTATTACATAAATGTGATAACTCTTTATCAAACAATACTCACTGGAGTACAACAACTATATTTAGAAAAAACCTGAAATAAAGTTAATATAACCCCTCAACCTAGCATTATAATAAGATTCCACTGTATTTACACTATAATGAGAAACACAGTGAAACTGAAAATAGCTCAAATGACAGTTACAATCTAAATAATGTAGAAATTAGAAAATCACTTACCTGTTTTTCTGGTCCTAGTGCAGGTGAATCTGTTTCTAGGCATATGGAAGTTAAAGGCAACTGTTTCACAAGTTTCTGCTTCTTAAAGAAAAGAGAAAGCTAGTAAGTTTAAAATATGGGAAATAAAGATAAAATAAGAAACATTAAATCTACATGCTAATGCATCTTATTCTGCAAGAACCTAATGTTTAAGCTTTAATGTTCAATTGATAAATGCTACCTGGATGCCTACCATGTTCTCATCATTCCACTACTAATGAGTTATGTAAAAATATAAACTCTCATTATCAAAAATTATCCAAAGCTTCCTGTAAACCAAAGAGTAGCAGTCACAGCAAAAACGAGGTATACCCAGCAAGAAATCCAAACATCTGATACTACATGCCCACTGAAAGATCCAGGGAAATGACTTCTGTTGTTTCTCTACCATCACTACACTCAGTGTCTCTACCATTCACTCTAAGGCACTCAAAGCCTGATGTTTATAAACCTAAGCTTCTTATGCACATCTAAATCTAGATTGAGTGGTGGATGGTTTTATTTTTTTGTTTATGATTTTCTGTGTATAGATTGTAAGCACTGCAATTAACTCAGTAAGTTTTATGCCAAGAACACAATTCTCTTGCTGCCACTGCACTTAAAATTTAAAAATGGGAAGGGGACATAAATGATGCATAGTGGAACATTGTTAAAATCAATTATTTAAGATTAATTTCAAAAGTACAGAAATGGGTATTTATCATATAAATCATATAAATGATTTCATTTATATGACATGTAGAAAAGACAAAACTATAGGGACAGAAATCAGATCAGTGGTCGCCAGAGACTAGGGGTGAAGAAGGGAGGGGACTGAGTAGAAAAGTATGTGAAGCAACTTTTTAGGGTGATGGAAATATTCTATATCTTGAATGTGGTGGTAGTTACAGGACAGTATTCCTTTGTCAAAACTCACAGAATTGTATACCTAAAAAGGGTGAATCACTATAGTTATACTCCTCAATAAATCTGACTTTAAAAACTACAGGTCAAAAACAACGAAACATATACATTATTTTGCTGATGGAGATATTTAAAAAAATCTTGGCTGTAGTTCTACACTCTCTTTACCTGTATTAGTTGATAGAAAACTTATTTTAAGATAGACAACTATTATATTTCACAGAATTTAAGGGTGCCATTGATTGTAGCATGCACTTCAATTTCACAGATAATAAAATATAAAAAAAATTAATATCTTAAAATTGATGAAATATGGTAAGTTACCTAAGATTAGTTTTTTAATTATTTTTGAGGTAGAATTCATGTGCCATAATATTCCCTTTAAAAGTATAAACTATATACCCTTTAAAAGTATACAATTCAGTGGTTTTTACTACATTCACAAGATTGTATAGTCATCACCACTATCTAACCCTAAAACATTTTCATCACCCTCAAAAAGAAATCCCATACCCATTAGTAGTCACTCCCCATACTCATTCCCTACAAATCCCTGGAAACCACTAATTTACTTTCTGTCTCTATGGATTTCCCTAATTTGGACATATAAGTTGAATCATGCAAGATGTGGTCATTTGTGTCTGGCTGCTTTCTCTTAACATAATGTTTTCAACATTAATCCATGTGGTAGGATGACTCAGAGCTTCATTCCTTTTTATGACTGAATAATATTCCATTGTACAGATATATAGCAAATTTGGTTTATCAATTCATCAGTTGAGGGACATTTAGGTTGTTTCTATTTTTTGACTGTTATGAATAATGTTACTATAAACATTCATGTACAAGTTTTGTGTGGACTTTTTTCGTTAAGAGTCTTGCTCTGTCGCCCCAGCTAGAGTGCAGTGGTGTCATCTTAGCTCACTGGAATCTCAAATTCCTAGACTCAAACAATCTTTCTGCCTCAGCTTCCTGAGTAACTAGCCTATAGGCATGCACCACTACGCCCAGCTAATTTTTCCATTTTTTTAGAGACAGTATCTTGCTCTTGTGTAGGCTAGTCTCAAACTGCTAAGCTCAAGAGATCCTCCTGCCTGGGGACTTCCAGAGTGCTAGGATTATAGGCGTGAACCACCATGCCCAGCCTGGACATATGTTTTCATTTCTTTTGGGTATCCACTTAGGGCTAGAACTACTGGGTCACATGGTAATTCTTTGTTTAATTTTTTGAGGAACTACCAAACTGAGTGGGATAAGTGGTATATCATTGTGCCTTTAATTTACATTTCCATAAAGGCTAATAAGGTTGAACATTTGTTTTTTGTGCTTATTAGCCATTTGTATGTTTTCTTTAGAGAAATACCTACTTAAATCATTTGCATATTTTTTAATCAGGTTATTTGTCTGTTATGGAGTTGTAGTGGTGTTTTATATACTAGTCCCTTATTAGATATATGGTTTGCAAATTTTTTCTCTTTCTGTCGGTTGTATTTTCACTTTCTTGATAATATGCTTTGAAGTTCAAAAGTCTTAAATTTTTTATTATGGAAATTTAAAATTATGATTATGTCCAATTTACCTACTTTTTCTTTGGTTGCTTGTATTTTTTTTTTTTTTTTGAGACAGAGTCTCACTTTGTTGCCCAGGCTAGAGTGAGTGCTGTGGCGTCAGCCTAGTTCACAGTAACCTCAAACTCCTGGGCTCAAGCAATCCTGCTGCCTCAGCCTCCCAAGCAGCTGGGACTACAGGCATGCGCCACCATGCCTGGCTATTTTTTTCTATATATATATATATTAGTTGGCCAATTAATTTCTTTCTATTTATAGTAGAGACGGGGACTCCCTCTTGCTCAGGCTGGTTTCGAACTCCTGACCTCAAGCAATCTGCCCACCTCAGCCTCCCAGAGTGTTAGGATTACAGGCGTGAGCCACCACTCCCGGCCTTGCTTGTACTTTTGACTTCATATCTAAGAAGCTATTGCCTAATGAAAGGTCACAAAGTTTAAGACTGATTTCCTTCAAAGAGTTTTATTTTAGTTTTTACATTTAGGTCTTTTATCCATTTTCTGAGTTAATTTTTATATATATGCGAGGTAGACACCTAAGATTAATTTTTGTAATATAACGAGATTAGTATCACAGTATGTAATAAAAGTTCATATTTTAAATTGTATTTCACAATGTATAGGTGAGTGTTAATGAAAGAATTTACCTGGTTACTTCTTATGATAGAAGGGGGAATTGAGAAAAAGTACCCAGCTTTTACTCCTTCCATGGCTACAGACGGCCGACCATCAAATGCGTGCAACAGTACCTTGTCAGCACCTCTCAAAAATAAAAGATAAATCAGAGTTCCATTTTATTTTCTGAACAAGGGGCTTTCTCACCAATTGAATTAAACAGAGATCTGAAATTTTAAGTAAACGTGGGTCACTATGATATAAAGGTGAAGTTCTATGACTTCTAAAAGGTGGATAAATGTTACAGTGTTCAAAGAGTAGAATAAAAATATAGTCAATTCTTTTCTTCAGAATAAAATTAAATAAAATTGAAATACAGTTTAAAAAGCAATTACTTACACTTCCTACACCATTAGACCTTTTCTAGATGTCTATGAGCTGTCAAATTATTGTTCCTAATAAGAGGTTTTTAGGCAGTCAAATTGATTTTCCTAACAAAAATGCTAGCAAGGGAGAAATGAAGAACTACGTATTAATAAATGACTCACAAATTCAACAGTCAGAGTTGGCTTCACAAAACCACCTCCAGTTCTTAAAGATAGCTGCTCAGTCTGCATAAAAATCATGCTTTCAGTGATTCCAGAGAGGCTCAGTATTCATCACTGAGGAATACTATTTTTTCTAGTCACAGGCAGTTAGATTTACTTCCTATTTGACGTAGTTTTTCAATAGTGGGTGTTGACCACTAACATGGTTATAACCATAAAATATTATGAATCATTTAATAGGTCACAACCCAATCATGTGCATTACAGGTAATGTGTATATATGTGCTGTACAGACTACCTATTCACAATACACTGTATGTATGTGCCTCATTAACTTTTGTTAGTTTCTTTTACAAGTATAAAAAGTCTCAGTATATTTCTGATATGGATGGCATTTTTAAAATAATGCTTATATAACGATATATTATTTACTTTAGAATTGGTGAAGATGATTGGTAATACTTTAATGCATGATGGTCACCATATCTGCATAATCCATTTTCTGAAGTAGCATCCAGAAACACACAAACAGTGACCCCTTGTGACTGCTGTATAATTTGCCTTATTTGTCCATGTTTTTCCTCTTCCTGTTTAATCAGCTGACAGAGTGATTAAGAAATCGAGATTGCTATTTTAAGTTTTAGAAACATCAATATTTGATTCAGTATTTTCATTTACACGTTATCTGCTAGCTTCTGATAAATATTAAAAGTGCTCTCTGAAACCCTTGCAAATAATAGCCCTGCTCGCAACATTACCTTAGATGGACTTCATATTTCCACTTTTGCCCCTGCCTTTCCCTTTAGGAAATCAGATTAAACATGGCTTGCTCTATGAGAATATGGACTGGAATTGTCAAATGTGAACATTAGGCACATTTCTCTCAGGAACCTAAATACTTGCTCACGTAAAGGTTGATGTGTAGTCTCCAGCAGCGTGAGTGAACATTTCTGTTTTAACAACAACAAATTTCCTTTTAAGTACCAATCCAAAAGTATTGTTTTTGTTCTACTAAAGTATTTCAGATGAAATGTAGAGTCCTCCATTTCAGGAGGATTCTGATCATTATTTAATTTACTCTATAGCTATTAAAAAACATAGAAAGATAATTAACCTACAAAGGCAAATTTAGTCTTTTGGCTAATTGGACCTGTCTGATTAGAACTTGTCTTTGCTCTTCCTTCTGTTCATCACTGCCAGCAAATCTAGGGGAGAAATCTAGTCCAACCTGTAACAGAAAAATAAAAGATATTACCTAGTTATGATTTAATGAACCTCAAAAGAGATAATATGAATCAGTGCTGTACAACAGAAATATAATGTGAACCACAAATGTGAGCCACATAAAAATCTGAAAATCTGATTCTAGTAGCCACATTAAAAATATTAACAAGAACAGGTAAAATTAATTTTATTAATATAATTTATTTAACCCAATATATCCAACATATTATTATTTGAACATGTAATTAATATAAAAAATGGAGTTATTTTACATTCTTTTTTTTGGTGTACTAAAACTGTGAAATCCACAGTGTATTTTATACTTACAGCACAACAGCCACATGTGGCCACTGCATTGGGCAGCACGGATTATAGATGACTGCTTCCCTTGAGAGTATTTTGACATACATTCTATAATCTATATTCTAAATTTAAGTGTTATTCTTGTCTTTTAGCTCTAATTAAAAATGGAATTTATCACCAAGCAATAAAATGTTTCACATATATAAATTATTTAAGTAAAATGTGTTTTTTAATTACAAACTCTAGCCTATATAAAGTATGTTTCTAAATTACTTAGGAAGAGCTATATATACTATTTTAACTCAGCAGAGCAATGACCCATATTTAAACAAAAAGAAAAAAAGCAAAGTGTTTAGAAATGCTTTTAGTTTTCTCCCATTAAGATAAGCCTATGTTAAGGCTTTCCATTGTTTCATCCCCAAGCTGTCTTGCTTATTGAGAAAGTAGCAACAAATTACTATTCAGCTGAATGAGGCGAACACAATTATCCAAGTCAGTTATAATCATCAATACTGTAAGGATTATTTTCACATATTATATCAAGGCTTGGTTTAGAAGTTGTTTGATTAGCTAATGGGTGTTTACCTCTCCAACTGCCAACAGCCGATCTTTGTAATGCTCAATAATGGGCAAAGCTACATCCAAATCCTGGGAGGAAAAAAGTATAATCATTAAAATGGAAACAGAAGGGAACTGATATTTCACAAGCACTTATTATGTGCCAGACACTATGCTATCCTGGTGCTTTACATACATACATTTAATCCACTTCACCAGTCAAAGAACTAGGAATAGTAATCCTTTTATAATGGTGAGTACCTCTACCTCTAAATTTGAGTAGAAACATATCCCATATACCTTCAGGTTATAAGAACATGAATTTTTATGAAGATTTCGCTTTTGTTTAGGAGGTATTTCCTGGCCTTCAGGAGGCATTTGGATTTCCTAGACCAGCACAGGAGAAAAGCAAGCCACCAGGTGGTCATTTTCACAAGTGAGTTTTTGGGATTGCATTGTTATGCTCTCCTTTTAAGAGTACTACTGGTTGGTGAGTTTTTAAGAATGATAATCCCATACTATTTCCTTTGTACTCATTCCTTCCTTTGTACTCCTTCCTTTCTTTGCACTCCTTCCTTCCCCTCCCTCTCTCTCTCTCTCTCTCTTTTTCTTTATTTTTTCAGACAAGGTCTCACTATGTTGCCCAGGCTGATTTCAAGGACTATAGGAGTATGCCACTATGTCTGGCTTCATTAATTTCTATTATATTCATAGTCCTTCTGGGCCTATTTGTCCTAAAGGTTCAGCAATATAAACAATAAATATCACATACATGCTTGTTTCTTAACTATTGAAGTGGCTATGTACCATTAGTTTCAATGATATTACCTTTTCCGCTTAAGAAAATTTGTAAGAGTTTCCTTCTAAGGAAGGGGAAAGATAAACATATGGAAAATTGCTTCTTGGCACTTTTTAGACCACTTTGTGGATTTTAGTTTCAGGATATGTAAATTACAAAGTACTTCTGAGGATAATCAGAACAAGAGAGATTTAAGAAAAGAGAGGTAGAGCAGGTGATAGAGGAACAAGAGGAGATTTTACAATTATGCCTCTCCAAAGAGAGAAAAAAAAAGGTGAAGCAGGGTAAATTGAGGCCTTAGAAATATATTCTAGGGGACTTGAAGAGGAATTAACATTGTCATGAGGAGTGAAGAGTATATAACCCTAGGTATCAGAGAAGTTATCCGACAACAAGCTGAGTAGGTTAAACAGTATCAAACAAAGCTTTTTTCCATATCAAACATCCAACCTATTCTATATATCTGGGACCTCAAAGGGACTAGAGAAGTAGGAGAAATCACCCCGAAAATGATGGATACTTAGAAAGTCCAAGTCACAAAGAAATTGCACATTTGGATGTAGAAAAAACCATGACTCCTAGAATATGTATTATTTATGAAAAAAAGCAAAACGAATTTACAGTAAGATTATTCAAACTCCTAATGGAATAGATCTAGAAGTTTTTAGCAAGTAAAGGATGATAAATAGAAATTAATAGAACATAATTCATATTATTTAATATGTACAAGTATACCTTGTACTGTGTGGTCTTTATCATTTTATTTTAGTAGGTGTGAACATATTAATTATAAAGATATTTATAGTTCTATTTCTGACCTAAGTTCTGTTCCCACTTTATCCTAAAGTCTCAAGTTCCTTAATGGCTAATGGTTTCATTATCTTTTTTTAAAAAAAGATCCTATACCCCTATACCATATGACTGGGAGTAAAACTACTACATAATTATTCATAATTTACAAGTGAGGAGATTGAGACTTGGCAAAGTTAAGTAACATGCCAGAGATCACAGAAACCAATAGGCCAGGTATCACTGACTGCAAAGCCCATGCCGTTTCCACCACAGTGCTGAAAGAAGAAAGGAGGGAGAAAAAAGGGAAGGAATGAAGGAAGGAAGGAGGACAAAAGGGAATGAAGGAGAGAAGATTTATTCAGAATGATTACAAATAATTACAATAGATTTTTTTTTATTATTAAAGAAAACATTTAGTCTTCAGAACTTTTAGAATAGGGCCAGGCATTTAACAGAAATGAGGGAAGTGGGGCATGTAGAGATAGCAGCCACTAGAGAGCATGCCCCACCTGCAGGGGTAGAAGATTGTGGCCAGCGAATAGAGTTCACCACAGTTCACTATAGTTCATCCCTAGTACCTAATAATATTGTGCCTGGAATAATATTCATTGAATGAATGAATGAACTGATTATAAAATATGCTAAAGTATTTATATGATACTAGGCAATTCATTTTATAAACCAAGTTAATTTAACGAATGCTTACTACATACCTAGCTTTGTACCACATATTTTTTCCTCCCTCCCTTCCTCCCTTCCTTCCTTCCTTTCTTTCGAGACAGAGTCTTGCTCTATCACCTGGGCTAGAGTGTTGTGGTGTCAGCCTAACTCACAACAACCTCAAACTCCTGGGCTCAAGTGATCCTCCTGTCTGAGCCCCCCAAGTAGCTGGAACTACAGGCATGTTCCACCACACCTGCTAATTTTTCTATTTTTAGTAGAGACCGGGTCTCATTTTTGCTCAGGCTGGTCTTGAACTCCTGACCTCAAGAGATCCTCCCACCTCGGCCTCCCAGCGTGCTAGGATTACAGCTGTGAGCCACTATACCTGGCCTGTACCACATATTTTGAAAGGTTCTGAAGATGAAACAAGGTATACTTCTTCCTTTAAAGGAACTAAGTTATAATCTAATAAGTATGGGGAAACTAAACTGTGGTATGGACAAGTGTGATTGGAATAAGATAGGGCTAACTCTACTTATCTCTGGTCTATTCCAGCAGGCTATCTGGAAATTTGATGAGTTTGTATCTGCTTTGAAATCAAGAATCACTTATCTATTGTTGGTATGTTAACTATTTTTGTAAGTTAAACAGTCCTATCAGTTCTCTATTAATGCCAAATACATGCTAAATCCACCCACTTCTCTTTATCTCCACTGCTACCACTCTGTTCCAATCCACCATCATTTCTCACATGGACTATTGTATATAGCCTTCTAACATTCTCCCTTTTTCCTTTTTTTTGCTCTCTTCGGAATTCATTTTTCACACCATAGCCAAAGGAATCTTCTTAAAATATAAATCACATTTTGTTACTTATTACTTTAGTTCTTACAGTGCACGTAAACTAGAACCCAAGAAGGCCCTGTATGAGATCTCTGCCCATTCCTCTGACCCTGGCACTACTACTTCCTTCGTCCTTCTAGCCACATCAGCCATCTTTCTGTTTCTTGACCACACAGAGCTTGTTCCTATCTTAGGACCTTTGTGCTTTGCTGTTTCCTTTGCCTACAACACTCTGACCCTCTCTTTGCATGGCCGATACCTTTGTAGCATTCAGGTTGCTGCTCAAATGTCATCACCTCAGAGAGGCCTTTCCGGATGACACAATCTAAAAAACAGTATTCATAATACCTATCACATAATCTTATTTTATTGTCTTCAAAGCACTTAGTGCTATCTAAAGTTCTCCCGTTCTTGTGACTGTTGATTGTCTGCCCAATCTAGAATTTAGCTGAGGGATTTCACTCACTGTTGGATTGATAGTGCTGAGAGCAGTGCCTGGCATATGCTAGGTGTTTAGTAAACACTAGTTGACTAGCTAAATAAATGCCTATTAGTATTAATATAAATCTCTACATAAAAGAGAAAAGAGCTGCCCTGCTATGATTCCCAACATTTCAGGAATTGTAACTCTGGTAATTTAGTTAACTTTATTACATTCAACAACTCAGCTACAGGATAAGCATTTTTACCTGAAGTGAATTAAAAGTAATTTTATTTTGAAATAAGCAGAGCTACCTGGGGTATCTTAATATACAAATAGAGATACATTATTATATAGAAAAATGACTCCCTATCTTAATTTATTCATAGGTAATAAAAAGTCATTACCTTTTCAAAATGGGGCTATCAACCCATTATAATAAAGCACCCAAGAAACTGTATCCTCCTGATGCTGAGTCAGGAGACAAGTACGAAATATAAAACATATTGACTATTGTGAGTCAGTGAGACCTTGTTGGTAGAATGTTTTAGAGGAAGGTATAAAATCAATGCAACTTAATAGATTGAGAGCACTCCTATAGCAATGGTTCTATACTCACAGACAATACTACTTACTTGAACTCATCTATTTACTTACAGTATGGCACCTGTGAATTTGTATCTTTCTTTTTCTGGATATTCTATCACTTTTTTTGCTAAAGCAATATGACCACAGGAAAAAAATGTGAAAAAAAAGTTATTCATAATTCTACTAGATCATCACAAATTTCTATCATTTCTGTGTTTTTCTCTCTAGTCTTTTTCTTACAGAAGATATTTTTATGTAGCTGTCACTCACAGTGAATAAATCATTTGGTCACCTGCTTTACTCCCTGTAATATACTGTACAAATTTCCGTGTGCTACACAAACTTTTCTACAAATGCATTATATTCAACACTCCGCAACCTAACTAATGATTGTTTTATTTCTTAACCTCTAGGCTATTTCCACTTTTTCTTTAAATGATGTTGTAACAAACATCTTTGTGAAAGAAGGTTGTGTTTTCTTCTTTTGGATTATTTCCTTAGAAGAATATAAATTAGAAAAAGGAGGGTTACTGAGTTAAAAGATACTATTTTTTATGGTTCTTATTTTATATGACCATTACCTTTAATGTGACACTTCTTTGATCTTCTAGTGAAAGTCCTTGAACTGGGTGAACACCCAAGCATGGCAGGACAAACCCACTATACCTGAAAATGGAGAACTAATTAAGGAAGCAGGAGTAGTAGACAAGTTGACTACAATGTTACTCTAAAGAACAAGCAGAAAAGACTCTCTTTTAAGGGCTATGTTAAAATGCTTTTTCCTCCATATTCCCTTTAATTGGATCTTCAATATTATAAATTGGACATCATAATTGTGTCCTTATTAGCAGCTCTTTAAAATCTTAATTAGAAGTAGCACCTTTCTGAAAGTTGAATAATCTTTTCAAATTCTCCTGAATGTTCAGCAACTGCCACAAGGGCCACAACATTGGCCTGGAAAAGAAAAAAGAAAAAAAAAAGAATAGAATAGAGTTCCAAACAATACACACACATAATATAAATCATATAAAATTTTAAAGTTTTCTGTGCATTAGTTATCCTGTTCACTCATGCTCCATCCATATAATCATAATGGTTACCACTGAGTATTTACTATGTTTCAGGCCCTATGTTCAGTGACTATAAATATTTCCTCATTTAATCTACACCAACCTGTGAGGTAGGCATTGCTGTAATCCACTGTATAGATCAGAAGACAAATTTTTGGATGGAGTCAAATAACTTTTTCAAGGTCATTATACCTATGTAATTCCAAAGCCCAGGCTCCTATTTAAGTTGTCACAGTTAAAGTTGGCTGTATATAAAAATGTACTGGCAACCAGTTCTGGTTCTATCATTTTCTGGGAAGACCAAAAAATACTAGTTACAATAAATTTCATAAATATTTGCCAAAATAATAATCATTTTCTAAGAAAATCAAAATGTTTCAGAAAACTTTTATAATATATCCCAGATCTTCAGAATAATGTGAATTTAAAAGCTGAAAGATGGACCAATCTGTTCCATAGTAAGTATGGTGGCTGTAGGAACACACCTTGAATTCATATTAACTTGTTTCTATTACTTTACTAGCATGTGTCTTTGGACTAGTTACTAATCTCGAGGCCTTAGTTTCCTCATCTATAAAATGGAGAGTGGTTAGCTAGCTATAAGACAGTAACTTCCTCAGAAGGTTGTTGTAAAACATTAAATGCGATAAAGTTGAGAAAGGGCTTAGCTCAGTGACTGGTACATGGTAAACACTTAATAAAAGCTACTTATTATTAGTGACTGAAACAACATCAACATAGTATATCTACGTTTCAAGATGCTTTAGCTTAAAATTAGTAGGAAAAATAAAAAACAAAAGGGCAATGATAGATATTTTATCTTTTTTTGTTTTCGTTATTCTTAAAGTCCAGTGTCCTAGTAACAATTAAAGATATTGACTTACTTTCTTGGCTTTCTCCAACACATCATCCAGATCCTAAAATAAGCATAAGTAATCACCATTATTTTAGATGATAAGTAACTGCCCTTTGGATGTGTACATCAATGCAGTTGAGGCACCATAAAGAATGACAATGATTGCAAGGAACAGGGTGGTGGAAAGCAAAGAGCCTACACTGAACCACCTCCTTCTGTTAGGACAGTCTGCCTTCTGTTCCCACTCCACTAAGAAAGAAACCTCAGTCGTCAAATGTAAAGGACATTTCTCCATCCTTCTCTTACTCTACCCCTCAGTAGCATTTGGAACACCTCACTTGCCTACTCCTTCCTTCCTTGAAATATTTTCCACTCTTGGCTTCTGCAACACCACTGTCTCACTGGTGGCTGCTTTTCAGTCTCCGTGATTGGCTCTCTCTCCTCTTTCTGACTTTAGGCCCCTTTCCTCCTTTCACTGTTTTAAGTGATCTCATCTCTCACAGTTTTAAATATCATCATTCTGGTGAGTTCCCAATTTTTATCTCCAGCTTATACCTCTCCTCAGCCCATGATTCATGTTTAAAATAACTATTGTGACTTCTCCGCTTGGATGGGATTAGATTTCTCAACATATCCCAAACATAAATCTTTATTTTCTCCCCACAAGCCTATTCCTTCTGCCATCCTCCCCACCCTCACGCCAAACCTTGATCTTTCCTCATCTCAGTGAACAATACCACCAATTATGCTTCATATTAGCACAAGCTAATAATCTGAGCCATCCTTTATTCCCCCCTTTCCCTTGTTCTCTGCATCCAGTTCTTCAGCATGCACTGTGAACTCTCTCTAAAATGTATCTTGAATCCATCTACATCTCTCAAACTTCCCTGCTATCATCATAGTACCAACAACCAACATCTCGTCTATATACTGCAAAAGCCTCCTAACTGGTCTTTTAGCTTCCACGCCTCTCCTCCACCCATTTGCCACACAACAGCAAAATGGTCTTAAAATGGATATAAGATCTTGTCATTCTCCCTTTTTAAAAAAAAAAAGCAAAACCAAAAAAACCTTTCAATGGACTGGCATTGTGCTTCTAATGTAATCCTAACTCCTTACGAACCTACTTCACCTATCCTCAGTCTTGTTTCATGTCTCTCTTTCTAGCTCATCAGGCTCCATCCAGCCTTTTGGCAACTGGAATGTGCTTGTGCCGGATTTTATCCTGTAGGTGGGCCTGCAACCTGTCTGCTTTCCTCACCACTATACCCTCACCCTCTTCCTTGCGTGGGTTGGCTCCTTGTCCTCCCAGCCTGAAGTGTCACCTCCAGAGAGGTTTTCCCCCCTCAAATAGACTCCCGCTCTTCCTTCTCTATTATCAGTCTCTAGTTTCTACCGTAGCAGGTAAAACACTTCGTAACTGATTTTATGTATGTTTTATTCTTCTTGTTTGCCCCCCGCCCGGTTAGAAGGTGTTTCGTGGACCACTTCTCGGGAAAAGTGGCATCCTCGCCAGGAGGTGAGAGGCGGGTGGGAAAAACAGCCTGGCCAAGGACAGGCAGGCGGGGAGAACTGCAGAAACCGAGGCCAGGAAACAAAAGCCTGTGGAGATACAGAGCTTACCGCTCTTAAATCATAAAAAAGTAAAAATAAAATAAATACCGGTATATCTGAGGTTAAATAGGGAATCAGGGGCAGGTCACACGGCCACAAACAAGGGCCTGGGGAGGATATGGGGCTTCGTTCTAAGGGAGGAGAGCAAAGATAACCTGAGAGGAAAGGACGGGGGCCTTCCCGCTCCCCGCATTGCCCTCACATACGTGGTCAAAGTCCGGGTCGGAGAGGTGGCAGTGACAATCCACTAGCCCTACGCCCACCGTCCCCATCGCCGCCCCTGCCGCTGCAGCACTAAGCGCGCCAGCCGAGCCCGCGTAGGAACGTTGAAGCTGCCGCGGCCTGAGTTTCCGGCCGGACGTGCGCGTCTTCCACCAGTGGGAACGCGCTCTTCCGCTCCCAGAGTCCCCCGCCCACGGTTCAAACTGGAAAAATGGCGGGGGCTCCTGAGTTGGTAGTCCTTGACCCTCCGTGGGACGGGGAGGTAGTTCCCGGGACAGACAACCAGGCCTTGGTCCCTGCCATCCCCCGAGAGGACTTTCGGGTGCGCTGCACCTCGAAGCGGGCTGTGACGGAAATGCTACAACTCTGCGGGGAATTTGTTCAAAGGCTCGGGGACGCTCTGCCGGAGGAGATTCGGGAACTCGCGCTGCGAGATGCGCAGTGGGTACGCGCCCAGTTAGCCGCTTCTTTATTTATTACCCCCTCACCCCACACCGCGGGTCTCAGGGCTCAGAAATACCCTACGCCAGGCTTCGGCAGAATTAAAGGTGCCCCAGGCTACTGTAGCAGCGACCCGAAAAACGCGCGAGGGGAGAACGAAATAGATGCTAATTTCAGCTGGGTATTATTAATTACTTAGACCAGCGCAGTCCAGTGAAAATACAAGGCAAGCTTAAGATTTATGTTATTTTGCATAATTTGTGTAATTTCAAATTAAAAGAAACTGGTGGAATTAATTGAAATAAACCATTTTGTTTAACCCAATAAATCCAAAATATTTTAACGTATAACACAAATGAATATTTTACATTCTTTTGTTCATACTAAGATTTTTAAATCTGGTGTCTTAGATTAATATTTACAGTACATCTTTGGAACTAGCCACATTAAGTGCTCAGTAACCACAAAGTGGCTAGTATTAATAGCTTCCCTGTGGGACAGTGCAGGCATACATATTATGTGGAATTCTCCTTTCCTTTTGCCCATTTTAGAACATCCCGAAAACAGAGTGAAAACATTTTCCTTATAAGTCTAAAATAGATAAAAGAAGGTTTCTTTGTTATAAACTTCTAAAATCACACAGTGGCCCTTGCAACACATTTCCCCTTCCTTTCTCAAATACTTTGCAAAAGCCCTTAAGATAATAATTTCTTGGGAGCACAAGAAATAGAAGGGTTGGTGCCTGTCATAAGGAAACACACAATCTGTTTATTTGTAGAAGGAGAAGATTAGAAGCTTTTATGCAGCACAATTGTGAGTGTAAATGACCACAGTGCAAACAGTAAAAATAAAGATTAAGTGGAAGAAAAATGAAGTACTGCATGGGTTGTTATTCTGTATTCTGGTTTTGTATACAGTGGCTTTTATGTCCTATTCCCTCCTTGCAAGCAAGACAAAAATAAAAACATAGCTCAGGAAATTTAGTAGTTTTGGGGGAGACTTGTTGCTAATCATGGTCTTAGAATTTGTCTGATCCTACAAAGTGCTAAGGTGCTTAAACATTTAGTTACCCTACAGAAAAAGGAACTTGGCATAAGCTACTATATTCCGTTAAATGGGACAGTAAAGCAATTTGAAGATAAAGGTTTGAGGATATAGACCACCAAGGAAATTCGCTTGTGTTTTATTTTAATTAACATGGAAGCTTTAACTATACGGATGTATCTCTTTATCTAAAACTGCATGATAACAGTGGCATATATTCTTTAAAAATAGTATTGGTAAGACTCTGCAATGAATATTACAAAGACAATTTGTATTCTCAGATAATCCTTGAAAGTCCATACATGAAGTAAATGTTTTACTTTATAAAAGCTTTAAAGTGTAGAATATGTACTTATCAGTCATTTAGTTTATGCTTATTTTTAATTATACAAATGTTACAAAATGCATGCTTATTGTAAAAAATTCAAAAAATAGCGTAAAGCATAAGTCCTCTTTGAATTCTACTTCCCCATCCCTCAATCTGCATTTTTCTTTCATTTAACCAAATATATTTTTGACTATTACTTGTCAGTGTTATGTAGAGATAATCTTTATCCTTTTATTTATTTTTGTGTGTTTGTTTGTTTGTTTGTTTGTTTGTTTGTTTTGAGACAGAGCCTCGCTTTGTTGCCCAGGCTAGAGTGAGGGCCATGGCGTCAGCCTAGCTCACAGCAACCTCAAACTCCTGGGCTCCAGCAATCCTGCTGCCTCAGCCTCCCAAGTAGCTGGGACTACAGGCATGTGCCACCATGCCCAGCTAATGTTTTTCTATATATATTAGTTGGCCAATTAATTTCTTTCTATTTATAGTAGAGATGGGTTCTCGCTCTTGCTCAGGCTGGTTTCGAACTCCTGACCTTGAGCAATCCTCCGCCTCAGCCTCCCAGAGTACTAGGATTATAGGCGTGAGCCACCACACCTGGCCCAATCTTTATCCTTTTAAAGTAATGTGTGGGATGGATATATTATTTAACTCTTTTCCTAATTTTGAATTTAGGTTTTTTCCCACAAATTTTCATTATTTCCAACAGTGTTGAAATGAATATTCCGAGTACATCCTCTTTATGTTTTTATGAGAATAGTCCTTTAGGATACATTGCTAGAAGTGAAACTGTTGGGTAATAGCTAATGTATATTTAAAAATTTAATGGACCCGGGACATGGTGGCTCATGCCTGTAATCCTAGCACTCTGGGAGGCCAAGGCAGGAGGATTGCTTGAGCGCAGAAGTTCAAGACCAGCCTGTGTAAGAGTGAGACCCCTATCTCCACTAAAAACAGAAAAATTAGCCAGGTGTTGTGTTGTGTGCCTGTAGTCCCAGCTACTTGGGAGGCTGAGGCAGGAGGATCGCTTGAGCCCAGGAGTTCAAGGTTGCAGTGAGCTAAGATGATGCTACTGCACTCTAGTCCAGGCAACACACAGAGAGACTCTGTCTCCAAAAAAAAAGGGGGGGGATAATAGACTAGTCTACTACTTTTCTTTATATCCTCTGTCAAAAATTTGAGATTGTTGTTTTGCCAAAATGTTTGAATTCAGTTTAAAATTATTTTTGGTGACTTGAATGCTGTGAATTTATTGCAGACTTTTGAATCAGCTGTGCAAGAGAATGTCAGCATTAATGGACAAGCATGGCAGGAAGCTTCAGATAATTGTTTTATGGGTATGTGACTTTTTCCTTATGTCATTAATTTCTGCGTTATTTTTGCAGTTAATGTTTTGAATGCTGTTTTTAAATGCCTGTTTTCAATGTCACTTCTTTTAAAAAAAATTCTTTACTAGGGGAATAAAAAGAGAAAACTAATATAGCAGACTATTGAAGTCATAATCTGAGGCAAACACAGTAGGTACTTTAGTCCTTCATATATGCTATCTGGAATTTTAAACAGGACTTTCATCTGATTAATCTTCAAAAGTACCTTTGTTAATAGTTTATTGGAAAATACTGTAGAATTATCCTCAGATGAAGAAACAGGCCCAAAGAATTCATGTAATTACTTATAAAGCAAGTTGTATTTTTGTAAGTGATCCTTAGAGCAGATAGTGAAATGCCTTTATAAGTGTGAAGTTAAACTATGCTATGTTTAATATAAACACAGAATATTAAGCATGAAGTTAAACTGTACTATGTAAAACATAAGGTCACATAGTTGTAGAAAGCTCCTTAAAAAGACAGAGTATTATTTTCTTGGTCCAAAGCAGACTTTATTGTACCCTAACTAATGGTATTGACATATAAAGAAATCAAGGTTTTAATAGAAAGATAATTAGTTTAGGGAGGAAAAAATTTAGTGGAAAAGGAATGGTAAGTGTGGGAAGAGAGGCAGGATTTCCCAGTGCATATACAGCAATGTCCCGAGAAGGGCTACCCTGACAAGAGGGCCAGAGTAGCTTGTCTGTCTCCATAGTGATATTATTTGGATCTGACCAGCATAGCTCAGTGTCATTGCTTGAAGTTCAGATTATCCAGTTATACCTTTAAGTTGATTCTAAGCCCACCAAGCAACCCTCTGTGGTTATAATTTTTATTCTCAACATTAAGATAATATTTTGCCTAGAAGACTTAACTGTCCAGTCCTTAGCATCACCTAGGAATACTTTCAACTGTACAGCTTTTCACTGTCCTTATCTGACTTGTTCTATTAAGTTACTTTGGAATTTCCTTTGGCCTCAGGCTGCTATAGTAATGTCATTCATCAATTTATGGATTAAGAAATGTATTTTCCAATAGTGTATTTTCCAACTAGTATCCTGGGGGAAGTGTTGTCCTTTGCCCCTTTTTCCCTTCATGACTTTGAGGGGAGATAATTGAGAATATTACATGTTTATCTTATTCATGAGTACCTGTTAAATGCCAGGCCCTATGCCAAATGCTAGGAAATAGATGAAAAAACCTGGTCCTTACCATGTAGGAACTCATTGTTCATGGAAATGGACAAGGAATTACTACACTCTTTGGAAAGTGGGAGAAGACTTAACACAGTAGGGTTTTGTTAAATTAAATTATATTATTATAATATTATATTATATTAAATTTGCATTATGTTAAATTATATTATAGTGAGAGTGTGCTAGATAAGAGGTAGGAAGAACATTTGAAATAAAACAGCATGTGCAAAGGCACAAAGGAGTGATAGGTTTGGAAAATGTCAGAAGTGAATCATGAAAACTAATGGCAGATGCGGCCAGAAAAATAAGTTGAGGCCAGATCATGAAGAGCTTTGAAGGCTATTCTGTTGGCAGTGGAAAACCAATGAAGAGTTTTAAAGTAGAATTACGTGAAAAGGTTTGTGTTTTTGAAAGCTTACTGCTAGCTGTGTGTGGGATGGATTGGAGAAGGAAGAAATTCAAGGAAGTCAGATCTTTGGGAGGTCATTGTAATAGTACAGCAAAAGATGGTGAAGTCCTGCCCCAGACAATAGGAGAGAAAAAGGTTCAAGAGATATTTGGAAGATAGAATTAATAGGATTTGTTTCTGATCTAATACATATAAGCAATAAGTAATAAGCTTCATAAGGGCAGAGATTTTTGTGTTTTGTTAACTGAGATTTCCAAGTGCGGCACACAAGGTCATTGTGTAAATGAGTGAACCAACAAAAGAATGAATGAATGAATATAAAAGTGAAACAAACCTCTCCCTCCTCCCTCTGTAACTACTCTGAAAAGACTTGACACCAGGAGGCTGAACCAGGCAAATTTAAGATTTGAAATGTAAGTTTCTTTCTCTTTTTTTGAGACAGAGTCTCCACGTTCTTGCCTGGGGTAGAGTGCCATAGTGTCAGCCTAGCTCACAGCAACCTCAAACTCCTGGGCTCAAACAATCCTGCCTCAGCCTCCCAAGCAGCTGGGACTACAGGCATGCGCCACCATGCCCGGCTAATTTTTTCTATATATGTTTTTAGTTGGCCAATTAATTTCTTTTTTATTTTTAGTACAGACAGGGTCTCGCTCTTGCTCAGGCTGGTTTGGAATTCCTGATCTTGAGCTATCCTCCCACCTCGGCCTCCCAGAGTGCTAGGATTACAGGCGTGAGCCACTGCGCCTGGCCTGAACTGTAAGTTTCTTGAGAGAAGGTACTATCTCTGTTTTTCTCATCTTATGTTCTCAACTCTTAATTTGGCACATGGTAGGCATCCATTAAATATTTATGTCATTGAGTAATTCTTTCCTATTCACATTTGTTTATACATCTCGATTTTGCAGCTTTATCATTAGGTGGCGCTAAGAAACCATTTTCCTCCCTACAGAAAAAAAAAAAAGATATAGCTGGGAGATTTTTTTAAAAATTTTTTTAACTGATTGTGATATAGTACATTATTCTTCTCAGGCTACTGATTTAACTTTGTTAATGGATAAATTAAAATTTAGAAAGGGCTGCTCATTTGAATGAGTATCAAAGTAAAATAACTATCTGTTATTTACCCTCTAAAGAAGCAATTTAGTTGGCTTCAGTGAATATTTGTAACATGAATGAAACACCATATCTCATTAATATACTTCATTAATCTTTACTGGTATGCATGTATATGCTGGTATGTATAGCACTTCTCAAATGTTTCAAAAAATGTTGCTGGGTTGTGGCTCATAATATAATCCCAGCACTTTGGGAGGCCAAGGTGGGAGGATCACTTAAGGCCAGGAGTTTGGACCAGCCTTGGCAACATAGTGAGACCCCATCTCCCAAAAAACATTACAAAGTAGCCAGGTGTGGTGGCACACATCTGTAGTCCCAGCTAGTTGGGAGGCTGAGGCAGGAGGATCACTTGAGCCCAGGAGTTGGAGGTTACAGTGACCTATGATCACACCACTGCACTCTAGCCTAGGTGACACTGAGACCCTGTCTCTAAAAACAAAAAAAAAATATATATATATATATATATATATAAAATGTTTCAGACTTCTTCCCATAAAGCTTCTGCTTAATAAAATAAATAGATCCATTTCTAGCATAGACTTTAACACAGTAGAACACATATGATATAGACTAGTTAAGCTGAAGGCTTAGAAAAACATCTGATAAAATAGATTTAGCTAAATGAAAAAAACTCTAAACTCACCATATCTTTCATTTTTTTTACCATCTATCTACTTGAGTACTATTTCAGATCTAGCTACTCCAGTCACTGCTACTGTCACTGCTTTGGTTCAGCACATAATAAGGTCAAAACTTGTTTTCATCCCTGATATTAAATACCCAGCCAGGCACAGTGGCTCATGCCTGTTATCCTAGCACTCTGGGAGGCCAAGGTAGGAGGACTGCTTGAGTCTAGTAGTTCGAGACCAGCCTGAGCAAGAGCAAGACCCTAACTCATCAAAAAATAGAAAAATTAGCCAGGTGTGGTAATGTGCTCTTATACTCCCAGCTACTTGGGAGGCTGAGGCAGGAGGATCACTTGAGCCCAGGAGTTTGAAGTTGCAGTGAGCTATGATGGCACCACTGCACTCTAGCCCAGGTGACAGAGTGAGACCTTGTCTGAAAAAGAAGTAGCCTAGTTAATCATCCTTTTTCCTTTACTTTATTCTGCCGCCATTTAGAACTTTTCTCTGTTGCCTAAGGACTCTATGATCTTTCAAATACTGTTTCTTTTGCCTAAAATGCTTCTCCCTATTATTTTTTTCTCTACCTTTTTTTTTTTTGAGACAGAGTCTCGCTTTGTTGCCCAGGCTAGAGTGAGTGCTGTGGCGTTAGCCTAGCTCACAGCAACCTCAAACTCCTGGGCTCAAGCAATCCTGCTGCCTCAGCCTCCCAAGTAGCTGGGACTACAGGCATGCACCACCATGCCCGGCTAATTTTTTCTATATATATTAGTTGGCCAATTAATTTGTTTCTATTTATAGTAGAGACAGGGTCTCATTCTTGCTCAGGCTGGTTTTGAACTCCTTACCTCAAGCAATCCGCCTGCCTCGGCCTCCCAGAGTGCTAGGATTACAGGCGTGAGCCACCGTGCCCGGCCTTCTCTACCATTTTATATCCATTAGATTTATGCTTATATTTCAAACTCAAGTGTTACTTCTTTGAAGTCTTAAATTTCTCAGGCAAAGTGTTTCATTTTTCTGTGTCCTGATAACATTCTGTTCATACCTCTATTGCATTTATCAGGTTGCCTTGTAGTTATCTTTTTCTTCCAGTGAACTGTGCACTCTTAGAGAGTAGGGATCATGTTGTGCTCATCTTTGTATTTCTCTGGTTTAGACCTAGCTTCCATAGATACTCAATAATTGATTGTCCGATGAGTAATCACAAAAGTAGAGGCATCTATGAACATGCTTTATGTGTTTTCCTTAATTAGTTCATGTTTTCTAAATTTAGTGTGTATAACATTTTCATATAGGATATAAGCAATGAGTTTTAAGAAACTTTTTAGATATACTTTTTTTCCCTGAAATAGATTCTGACATCAAAGTACTCGAAGATCAGTTTGATGAAATCATAGTAGATACAGCCACAAAACGTAAGCAGTATCCCAGAAAGATCCTGGAATGTGTCATCAAAACCATAAAAACAAAACAAGAAATTCTGGTAAGATGGTTTGCCTTTAAAATGTTATGTATATTTTACCGCAATGAAAAAAGTTGAAGTATAAGATCCACATAGAGATATGTGACATTTTGTTGTCTTTTTCTTTCCTGCCTCAGTTAGTATTGTCTCTTATAAGACTTTTTCCTGTTTTAGTCATACTAGTTTTGAATATAGCTGATATTAAAATCAAAATTGGAGATGGAAGACTGACAATGACATTATGATCCTGAGACCAGGATGGAAAAGGAAATTTATGTTTTAACCCTTTTCTTTCTATTTGTCGTCTGTGTTTGACACATTATTTGCACTTATTAGTATGTTTTGAAAGATCTTTTAGTTAAACTGATGATAAAGATGGTTTGAATACCTGTTCATGATACTGAAATTTGCTTTATTAATTGTGTATGATTTGTTCTGCTCTAAAAATCATGACCATTTGTGTCACAAGACCAGGAAGTCAGCTCCTTCAACCTGAGCTTTTTAGATAGGCAGAGCCATAGACTTGCTTCTTACTTATAATTACTATAGATATCAATGACCAATCATATCACAGTCCCATCTTTTCAGATTTTTAGGACTGGAATAAATAAAAAACAAAGATGAGGTCCATAAGACCTAATCTTCCATTGGGTAGGGTAGGGAGGAGGTTTGCTAGTAATGGCATTGTCCCTCCAGTGAAGTATAGCCTTTAGTGTGGTGGTGGTGCCAGGCTACTTTTTAGAGTGGAGTTTTTGTGGAAATACAAATTTTCGTTATTGTTGAGACAGCGTCTCGCTCTGTCACCCAGGCTAGAGTGCAGTGGTGTCATCATAGCTCACTGCAACCTCAGACTTCTGGGCTCAAACGATCCTCCTACCTCAGCCTCCCAACTAGCTGGAACCACAGGTGTGGGCCACCACACCTGGTTAATCTTTCTGTTTTCTTTGTAGAGATGGGGTCTCGCTCTTGTTCGGGCTGAAATATGAATTTTGAGTTCAAAACACTTGTCCTAAATAAACTTTTGAAACACAGTCCATTCAAAGTTTGGAGACTACCCTGCACTTTAAACACAAGCATTTAGTCTTTGCGCTTTTAATTTGCTTGATGCTTTTTCTGATTATACTTTTTTATGATGCTGTTCCTTAGTATATGCAGTAGGTGGCAGTACTGTAAAAGGTATAGTTCAAACTTAGTTTGGTCTTATTTTTCCCCTCCCCCAAAAGAATGATACTACTGACAGCATAGTATATTTGCCTACGTTAGCTGAAGAAAATGTTTATATGAGGCATCAAGTGATTAAATTAAATCTGTTTAATTTGTGTTCTGTTTAGAAGCAGTACCATCCTGTTGTACATCCATTGGACCTGAAATATGACCCTGATCCAGGTGAGTCAGTGTTCATTTATGATGAAAATGAAGCATCAGCGTGTAATTTTCATGACTTCCTTATACTCTTCTAAAAGGGTCAGCATCAAGAGTATCTTCCCTCTGATGCTTTAACTTCCTGCCTGTCATCCATACTTAGCTGTTCACCTAGAATTATGAGAACTTGCTCTGTATCTATTGACTCAGTTTCCAGGGATAGGACCTAGGAATCTGAACTTGTATAAAGCTCTGTCCTGACCTAGAATATTATAACACATACCCATCTCTAAGTTCTATTCTAATACCCTCCTGTCTCTAACTGCTATTATACCATTCTTTGCATTACAAAGTTATAATATTAAAGCATATTCTCATAGTGTTACTCCCCAATGCAGTAACTTTCTTTGGTTTCTAGTTGTTTAGGAAATAAAATACAATGAAAATTTTAATATTGAATTTAAGAATAGGTAAGTACATTTATTATGCCTTTGAACTCAGTTCCGCTTCCATTTAGATGCATTCCCTAAAACATAGAGAAATACAATTGATACAGACTTATGTTAAATCAGCAACAGAACTGGCATTGCTAAAAACATGGCTCATATATATTTTTAAGTGGCTCTGTTCTCACATTTTAAAATTTATAATAGTTTTCCTAAGAGAATCTTTGAAATTTGCCTTTGATACTCAAAAATGCAAATTACAAAAGAACAGTTAAACTCTTGATTTATTTGTATGGGATATGTATACTTACAGCTCTGAGTACCTGACCTTTGTTGAATTCTGAACTACTTTTTACCATGTCCCTGCTCCTTCCCGAATCTCCTAAGGCAATGGGATCAACTGAGAAGAGGAAATACAAACATAAAGCTACCCCGAAGTTGGTTAAAAATCACATCACTCACAATGTTTGACATTAAAAGTTGACCTAACACTTAATAAATTGTCATGGTTCACTAAAAAGAGGTAGTTGCCAAAATGCGGTGGTTGACGTATACTTGTTTTGGTTTTGAATAACAAAAATGGTAATTGAAACTTGTGGTATCATAATATATTCAAGTATTACTTTTTAGATACAGTTCATTTCTCTCTAAAGAAACTTGGTTACCTTTTTATCTTAGGAGGGAAAATGTAAATAATTCTTTGTACATGATTTTACTCCTATCATTCTGATTATGTGGTATTAGTGGAAGAATCTAATGTATCATATAATTCTGACTTCCAAAGTAAGCAAAAGAATTAGAATCTATGTTTTGGATAAATTTTGAGATATTTGTTATTCATTTATATAATGTTTATAAGCTCAGAATAGCATCAGTTCCTTAAAGATAGCGAAGTTAATGTGTAGCTATTAACTTTGTATCCTTGGCCAAAAAGTCACTTGACTTCTTTAAGCCTTAGTTTCTTTAGTGGTAAAACGGCAAATTCTAGATTTGGAACCTGATGCTTTAGGTGTGAATTCCAGCTCTGCCATTAAACATTACAGAATGTCCTGCCTACTTATCAAGGTTGTAGTATAAACCAAATCAGATAAGGGGCTGTGTAAACTATAACTAAAACAACGTGTAAGTATTAGTTTATGGAGATGCTACATAACGATAACCCTGTTATAAGTTGCATCCCATTTACAGTAGTATACCTTATAATATTGGTCTTCCTGTTTCACTCTTGCTGTATTCCATCTCATTATACATAGGCAGAGTGATTGTTTTTTATCCTTTGAAATATTTCAAACATATAGCAAATATGGAATATAACATAGTGAACATCTTTGTATTTATCATCCATGTTTAAGGGCTATTCACATTTATCTTACTGGCTTCAGACCTTTTTAGCAGCTAAAACATACAGATAGGTTGAAACTTTCTTTGTGCCCTTCACCATTCCATTCCACTTTCTTTTAGCTCAGAAGTATAACCGTGATCCTCGGGCTGTGTGAATCCTTCCTATCCATGTTTTTATGCTTAACTTTATAGCTATGGGTCCATAAATAATATATGGCGTTTGTTTTTAAATTTTTATATAAATCGTATCATACTGATCATATCATTCTGCAACTTTTTAGTTTACGTTCCTACCAGCAGTGTATAAAAGTTCTAATTCTCCACATCCTTACCAGCTCTTGTTATTGCCTTTTTGATTATAGCCATCCTGGTGGTGTCTCATTGTGATTTTGAATTGCATTTTTCTGATGAGTAATGGCATTGACCATCTTTTCATGTGCTTAGTGTCCATTTGTATATCTTCTTTGCAGAAATATATATTTAACACATTGACTATGACACTAGAAAACAATATTTTCCTTGGGGCCATGGTGTTTTATTATAAAAATAGAATAAAAATTTCAAAAACAAAATGATTCTTTCTAGTTTAATGAAAACTTTATTTTGTTGTTGTTTTCTGTGGGAGGCCAAGGTAGGAGAACTGCTTGAGTCTAGTAGTTCGAGACCAGCCTGAGCAAGAGCAAGACCCTAACTCATGAAAAATAGAAAAATTAGCCAGGTGTGGTAATGTGCTCTTATACTCCCAGCTACTTGGGAGCTGAGGCAGGAGGATCACTTGAGCCCAGGAGTTTGAAGTTGCAGTGAGCTATGATGGCACCACTGCACTCTAGCCAGGTGACAGAGTGAGACCTTGTCTGAAAAAGAAGTAGCTATAGTTAATCATCCTTTTTCCTTACTTATTCTGCGCCATTTAGAACTTTTCTCTGTTGCCTAAGGACTCTATGATCTTTCAAATACTGTTTCTTTTGCCTAAATGCTTCTCCCTATTATTTTTTTCTCCTACCTATTTTTTTTTTTGAGACAGAGTCTCGCTTTGTGTGCCCAGGTAGAGGAGTGCTGTGGCGTTAGCCTAGCTCACAGCAACCTCAAACTCCTGGGCTAAGCAATCTGCTGCCTCAGCCTCCCAAGTAGCTGGACTACAGGCATGCACCACCATGCCCGGCTAATTTTTTCTATATATATTAGTTGGCCAATTAATTTGTTTCTATTTATAGTAGAGACAGGGTCTCATTCTTGCTCAGGCTGGTTTTGAACTCCTTACCTCAAGCAATCCGCCTGCCTCGGCCTCCCAGAGTGCTAGGATTACAGGCGTGAGCCACCGTGCCCGGCCTTCTCTACCATTTTATATCCATTAGATTTATGCTTATATTTCAAACTCAAGTGTTACTTCTTTGAAGTCTTAAATTTCTCAGGCAAAGGTTTCATTTTCTTTGTCCTGATAACATCTGTTCATACCTCTATTGCATTTATCAGGTTGCCTTGTAGTTATCTTTTTCTTCCAGTGAACTGTGAACTCTTAGAGAGTAGGGATCATGTTGTGCTCATCTTTGTATTCTCTGGTTTAGACCTAGCTTCCATAGATATCAATAATTGATTGTCCGATGAGATAATCACAAAAGTAGAGGCATCTATGAACATGCTTTATGTGTTTCCTTAATTAGTTCATGTTTTCTAATTTAGTGTGTATCACATTTTCATATAGGATAAACAATGAGTTTTAAGAAACTTTTAGATATACTTTTTTCCCTGAAATAGATTCTGACATCAAAGTACTCGAAGATCAGTTTGATGAAATCATAGTAGATACAGCCACAAAACGTAAGCAGTATCCCAGAAAGATCCTGGAATGTGTCATCAAAACCATAAAAACAAAACAAGAAAATCTGGTAAGATGGTTTGCCTTTAAATGTTATGTATATTTTACCGCAATGAAAAAAGTTGAAGTATAAGATCCACATAGAGATATGTGACATTTTGTTGCTTTTTCTTTCCTGCTCAGTTAGTATTGTCTCTTATAAGACTTTTCCTGTTTTAGTCATACTAGTTTTGAATATAGCTGATATTAAATCAAATTGGAGATGGAAGACTGACAATGACATTATGATCCTGAGACCAGGATGGAAAGGAAATTTATGTTTAACCTTTTCTTTCTATTTGTCGTCTGTTTGACACATTATTTGCACTTATTAGTATGTTTTGAAAGATCTTTTAGTTAAACTGATGATAAAGATGGTTGAATACCTGTTCATGATACTGAAATTGCTTTATTAATTGTGTATGATTTTGTTCTGCTCTAAAAATCATGACCATTTGTGTCACAAGACCAGGAAGTCAGCTCCTTCAACCTGAGCTTTTTAGATAGGCAGAGCCATAGAGTTGCTTCTTACTTATAATTACTATAGATATCATGACCAATCATATCACAGCCCATCTTTTCAGATTTTTAGGACTGAATAAATAAAAAACAAAGATGAGGTCCACAAGACCTAATCTTCCATTGGGTAGGGTAGGGAGGAGGTTGCTAGTAATGGCATGTCCCTCCAGTGAATATAGCCTTTAGTGTGGTGTGGTGCCAGGCTACTTTGAGAGTGGAGTTTTGTGGAAATACAATTTTCTTATTGTTGAGACAGCGTCTGCTCTGTCACCCAGGCTAGAGTGCAGTGGTGTCATCATAGCTCACTGCAACCTCAGACTTCTGGGCTCAAACGATCCTCCTACCTCAGCCCCCAACTAGCTGGAACCACAGGTGTGGCCACCACACCTGGTTAATCTTTCTGTTTTCTTTGTAGAGATGGGTCTCGCTCTTGTTCGGGCTGAAATATGAATTTTGAGTTCAAAACACTTGTCCTAAATAAACTTTTGAAACACAGTCCATTCAAAGTTTGGAGACTACCCTGCACTTTAAACACAAGCATTCAGTCTTGCGCTTTTGATTTGCTTGATGCTTTTCTGATTATACTTTTTTATGATGCTGTTCCTTAGTATATGCAGTAGGGGCATACTGTAAAAGGTATAGTTCAAATTTAGTTTGGTCTTATTTTTCCCCTCCCTTCCCTATAGATTTTAGGATCTAATTATTTTTTTCCCCAAAAGAATGATACTACTGACAGCATAGTATATTTGCCTACGTTAGCTGAAGCCTCCCAGAGTGCTAGGATTACAGGCGTGAGCCACTGCGCCTGGCCTGAACTGTAAGTTTCTTGAGAGAAGGTACTATCTCTGTTTTTCTCATCTTATGTTCTCAACTCTTAATTTGGCACATGGTAGGCATCCATTAAATATTTATGTCATTGAGTAATTCTTTCCTGTTCACATTTGTTTATACATCTCGATTTTGCAGCTTTATCATTAGGTGGCGCTAAGAAACCATTTTCCTCCCTACAGAAAAAAAAAAAAGATATAGCTGGGAGATTTTTTTAAAAATTTTTTTAACTGATTGTGATATAGTACATTATTCTTCTCAGGCTACTGATTTAACTTTGTTAATGGATAAATTAAAATTTAGAAAGGGCTGCTCATTTGAATGAGTATTCAAAGTAAAAATAACTATCTGTTATTATACCCTCTAAAGAAGCAATTTAGTTGGCTTCAGTGAATATTTATAACATGAATGAAACACCATATCTCATTAATATACTTCATTAATCTTTACTTGGTATGCATGTATATGCTGGTATGTATCAGCACTTTCTCAAAATGTTTCAAAAAATGTTGCTGGGTGTTGTGGCTCATAACTATAATCCCAGCACTTTGGGAGGCCAAGGTGGGAGGATCACTTAAGGCCAGGAGTTTGGGACCAGCCTTGGCAACATGGTGAGACCCCATCTCTCAAAAAACATTATAAAGTAGCCAGGTGTGGTGGCACACATCTGTAGTCCCAGCTAGTTGGGAGGCTGAGGCAGGAGGATCACTTGAGCCCAGGAGTTGGAGGTTACAGTGACCTATGATCACACCACTGCACTCTAGCCTAGGTGACACTGAGACCCTGTCTCTAAAAAACAAATATATATATAAAATGTTTCAGACTTCTTCCCAATAAAGCTTCTGCTTAATAAAATAAATAGATCCGTTTCTAGCATAGACTTTAACACAGTAGAACACATATGATATAGACTAGTTAAGCTGAAGGCTTAGAAAAACATCTGATAAAATAGATTTAGCTAAATGAAAAAAAACTCTAAACTCACCATATCTTTCATTTTTTTTACCATCTATCTACTTGAGTACTATTTCAGATCTAGCTACTCCAGTCACTGCTACTGTCACTGCTTTGGTTCAGCACATAATAAGGTCAAAACTTGTTTTCATCCCTGATATTAAATACCCAGCCAGGCACAGTGGCTCATGCCTGTTATCCTAGCACTCTGGGAGCCAAGGGCTTAGGAGGATGCTGAGTCTAGTAGTTCGAGACCAGCCTGAGCAAGAGCAAGACCCTAACTCATCAAAAAAATAGAAAAATTAGCCAGGTGTGTATGTGGCTCTTTATCCCAGCTACTTGGGAGCTGAGGCAGGAGGATCACTTGAGCCCAGGAGTTTGAAGTTGCAGTGAGCTATGATGGCACCACTGCACTCTGCCAGGTGACAGAGTGAGACCCTTGTCTGAAAAAGAAGTAGCTAGTAATCATCCTTTTCCTTTACTTTATTCTGCGCCATTTAGAACTTTCTCTGTTGCCTAAGGACTCTATGATCTTTCAAATACTGTTTCTTTTGCTAATGCTTCTCCCTATTATTTTCTCTACCTTTTTTTTTTTTTTGAGACAGGGTCTCGCTTTGTTGCCCAGGCTAGAGTGAGTGCTGTGGCGTTAGCCTAGCTCACAGCAACCTCAAACTCCTGGGCTCAAGCAATCCTGCGCTCAGCCTCCAAGTAGCTGGGATACAGGCATGCACCACATGCCCGGCTAATTTTTTCTATATATATTAGTGGCCAATTAATTTGTTTCTTTATATAGTGAGACAGGGTCTCATTCTTGCTCAGGCTGTTTGAACTCTTACCTCAAGCAATCCGCCTGCCTCGGCCTCCCAGAGTGCTAGGATTACAGTGGAGCCACGTGCCCGGCTCTCTACCATTTTATATCCATTAGATTTATGCTTATATTTCAAACTCAAGTGTTACTTCTTTGAAGTCTTAAATTTCTCAGGCAAAGTGTTTCATTTTTCTGTGTCCTGATAACATTCTGTTCATACCTCTATTGCATTTATCAGGTTGCCTTGTAGTTATCTTTTTCTTCCAGTGAACTGTGAACTCTTAGAGAGTAGGGATCATGTTTTGTGCTCATCTTTGTATTCTCTGGTTTAGACCTAGCCTCCATAGATACTCAATAATTGATTGTCCGATGAGTAATC